TGTTAATATCTTCATTATTTTGCAATAATACTTCAATATCATTTAATATATTATTTATCTTGATTTCATTTTCATTTGATATATAACCTTCGTAATCAAAGTAATAACTTGGTGTTTGCTGTTTGGAGTTACCCCTTTTTTTAACATGTGTCTGGTCTATTTTACTAAAATTGATATCAAAAATTAAGGGAAAGTGATCTGATTCTACTCAGTTACCTATTTTAAAACTACTTATTTTATTGAAGAAAGAAGTAGATGTAATCAAATAGTCATTAACACTTTTGCTATTATAATTAATAAACGTAAATTCGCCCTTTTTGTCACCCTCTTTCCTTCCATTAACTATGCACATTGATGTATTTTTACATAGCTCAATCAATTTTTTCCCATAGTCATTAATTCCTCTATCACAGTTTGATCTATTACATATTGATATGCCAATTTCATAATCATTATCATCAATTGGGAGGTAATTAATATCGTCAAATAAAATGGTATCATCAAGCACCCCTGTCCGGGCGTTAAAGTCGCCAAAGAATATATAGTTAGTACTATTGTATTTAGCACGTATTTCTGACATAGTTACTGTTATATTATCAAATACAACCATATCCTCATTATAGCTAGATGTAATTGGTCTTATATATAAATTACATAATATGAATGGGTCTGAATTGCCTGGGGGAAACCACTATAATCCAAATAAAATCATCATCAAATTCTAATCTTTTGACATATTTTGATAATTCACATTTTATAAATAACAATATACCACCCGACTGCCTTCCTTTCCTTTAGTCGAAGCTTTTTTGCTCTGTACGTTAAACGAAACATATCCTTCCATAAAAAAATCAGATTTAGACCAAGTTTCTGCCAGTCCAATGATATCAAATTCTTTGAGATAACTCATGAAGTCTTCTGCACCCCATTTATCTCTAATTCCATGTATGTTCCATGCTATACATTTAATGTCACGCACCGACGGACCTTGACCTCCTTCCTACTCCTCAGCCACTTCGCTTGACCCATTATATCTACTTCCATCCTTAGCTTTGTCTTGTTGTTTAACAACTTTGTTTTTCTTTTCATTAAATATGAATGTTTCAACAACACCATAACTGTATGTTACCACTAACCTGTCATATCTCAGCTTAGCTGAGCAGTTTTCATTTTCGTTAATAATTTCTCTTCTTTTGGCCAACAGCTTGCTTCTAATTATTCTCGTTTTTGGAGCAAAATCTTCCGAGATACTTATCCGTGATCCTTTCAATTTAAATGCATTCTTCAATATGCGTTGCTTATC